CACCACTTGCCAAAACGAAAACAAAGACCTAATCCATCAAAGTCCATACATAGTTACATAGTTCAAGGAAAGCCTCTAAATGAGCTAATCTTGCTTTTTGGAGTCTGTAGTTCTGCTTTTGGCTAACTGTTCTTGTTAAATGAAGTATGTCAACCCAGGATATGGTTTCTGCGCTCACAAGCTCACCCTGAGAGAGGCTCAGGGCTACACTGGGATCCTGAGCACCCAGTGTGTTCACTGGCTGGTTAATAAATCCAGCTTGAGTAGTTGTCTCCGGTGAAACTTCACAGCAGGCGGAGGTCAGAGGACAGCTTTGTGGATTGGTTCTCTCCTGTCTTTACAGGCCTCTAGGGATCAAACTCAGGTTGTCAGGGTTGCTCCGTATACTCTGCCAGAAATTTCTAGATTGGAGAAAAGCTGAAACTGAATGGCGGAAGGGGAACTGGTTCTCTCTGACCAAATGTCATAGTGGACACTTCCTCTGTTCTTCCCCCCGAGGCGCACCCGATTCTGAGGTTTTGTTTTGATTTGATTTTTCAAGACAGGGTTTCTCTGTATTTCTTTGTAGCCTGTCATGGCACTCACTCTGTAGACCAGGCTGATCTCAAACTCACAGAGATCCACCTGCCTCTGCCTCCCAAGTGCTGGGATTAAAAACGTGCACCACCAACACCCCCCACCCTCCCACCCTCCCACCCTCCACCCCCTCTTTGGGTAGATATTAAGTGACCCAGCCCTCTCTCTCACAGAGAGGGTGATATTTTTAATTCTCCTTTTGTCAATGAGGAAATAGAGGCTGTTCAAGTGCACACAGTTATTCACCAGATCCTGCTTTGTGCTGCAAACCTTTGCTTGAAGTCTGTTACATTGGCGTTTACATTGCCCTTCTTCATGCGCAGTCAAGTGAAGCCAGGACTTGGAGCTATAGCCAGGTTCTACAGGGCAATATGGCCCTCGTGGTACAGGTGTCCAAACAGATGCTGAGGGAGGCTGGGTGATGTCTGGAAAGGGTGTGGCTCTCTGTATACACTCAGTATTTAGGCCCAGTGGTTTGCTCTAAACAAGAGCATGCAGGATGCCAGGCACATCTGGCTCCACATTTTAGGTGGATGTGTGGCCTCCAGGCAGGAGTTGAGGCCAGCTTTCCAAGCCTCCTACATCAAATATGCGGACAATGCCTGTGTGGTGCCACCAAGCTCTGTCTTAGGAAGGTGATGCCTGTGTCATCTTGCTGACCAATATTGGGTTGCTTACAGCTAGGTGGGTTGGGTGTCTGGGGCATAGGGATCTGGAGCGCAGGCTCCCAAAGGTGACTGCCGACAGAAAAAAAAGGAGGAAAGCTTCGACTGAATCTGTAGCTTCATGCAGCTGTAATGGAACTGTAACAAGCTTTACAAAGGTACAAAGTGTGCTGAGTTCAGGCCCCATAATCTGTGAAAACATTCCCACTGCCAAGGTTCTGAGCAATTCATTACTCCCTAAGGGTTTTCTCACCTTGGTGAGCCCAGCCTTCTGCCAGGTAACACACTATCTGATTAATTTAGTTGACATTTTCTAGATTTTGTTAGTGTATGTTATATAACACACACGTGCGTGTATGCATGAGTTATCTTACGTTAGTTATGTATTTTTATGCACGTTTTTAACTAAATGGAATTGCACAGCCAGCGCCCCCCCCCCCCACTTTTTGAATTTTGACACAGTCTCTCCCTGTGTAGAGCTGGCTGTCCTGAAACTCGCTGTGTAGACCAGGCTGGAGGTGAACACACTGAGATCTGCCTGACTCGGCCTCCAGAGTTGTGGGATTAAAGGTGTGTGCCACCACAACCTTTTGTCTTTACTCAGCATAACTATTCTGAAGACGTGGGTGTTGAGCGTGAGTTAGTTGTCCCTTCCTGTTTATTTTGTTCATCTTTATCCAGTCACTGGATAAATAGGTTATCTCAGTTTGAACAGTCTCTAAAACCTAAGTCCTTGCTTGGACCATAGGTGGATATTTAGTGCTTGAAGAAACTCTAACAGAGTGGTTTGATCTAGGAACCTTTGCCCTTTACCTCCTAGGCTATCTGGCTGTAAGTAAAACAACAATGAAAAGACGAGTGAAGCTGTGTCTGGCGAAACACGGCTTTGATCCCTCCCAGCACTCTCGAGGCCATGGTTTACGGTCATCTGTAATGCAGTTCTGGGGGATCTAATACCCTCCTCTGGCCTCCTTAGATAGCAGGAACACATGTAGTGCCCAGACATAAATGCAAGCAAAGCACCCATGCACCTAAAATAAAATACATCTTAGGTGCCGGGCAGTGGTGACGCACACCTTTAATCCCAGCACTCGGGAGGCAGAGGCAGGTGGAGCTCTGTGAGTTCGAGGCCAGCCTGGTCTGCAGAACAAGTGCCAGCATAGGCTCCAAAGCTACACAGAGAAACCCTGTCTTAAAACAACAACAAAAAAGCAAAACAAACAAAACGACATCTTAGGGGACTTTCTCTGGGGTTGAAAAAATCTAATATTTTTATCTCCTATGATGATACTAAGCCTGCTTTGGAGCAGATGAGGGCTTGAAGAGCACAGAGCTTTGGGGGCCTTATTATCTTCAGTTCAAAATAATCCTTGGCTAAAACAGCATGTTATTAGGGTAACATTCTAATCACCCTCAATAAAAAAGTTTTCAGTAGCAATAGGAGTCATCCATGTTCTTTTTTTTTTTTTTTTTTTTTTTTTTTGGTTTTTCGAGACAGGGTTTCTCTGTGGCTTTGGAGGCTGTCCTGAAACTCGCTCGTAGACCAGGCTGGCCTCGAACTCACAGAGATCCGCCTGCCTCTGCCTCCCGATGCTGGGATTAAAGGTGTGTGCCACCAACGCCCAGCTGTCATCCATGTTCTTAATTAAGCCCTTCTAGTAAGTGTGGAGTGATCTCACGTGGGATGAGCCTGCGTTTTGGTGTTCTTTCTCATACCTAGTGGGTATATGGTAGGTACCTTTGGATATTTGTGCACCAAATGAAGATGTATTGTTGTACTTGGTGTCATAAAATACTGGGTGGCCAATAGCTAGGCAGGAGATTGCAAGTGGGACTTTTGGGCAGAGAGAGAACTCTGGGAAGAAGAAAAGCAGCTTTGCCAGCAAGACCTGGCGAGAAAGCGGAGGTACAGCATGGAAGACAGATAATGCCACGTGGCAGAACACGGATTCATATGAATGGGTTAATTTAATTTATAAGAGCTACTGGGACAAGTGTAAGCTAAGACCCAGCTTTCATAATTAATAAATTATGTTTGGTTCTAAATTTTGTTTGTTTCTAAACTGGCACACACACACACAAACACACCCACACACACCCCCACATCCCCACACCCCTACACACACACACACACACACACACACACACCACACAGACACACATACATCCAGACACACACAGACACACGCCACACACACACATGTTATTTGTGAGCTGTCTGTTGGTCCTGACAGAAAAGCTTGCTATAGTAACTCCTACATCTTTGGTGAATGGTTGTTTTTCCTACTCCATCTCCCAGTGCTGGTCACAGGCAGGCACCTACACTAGTCTCTGGGCGAAAGAGCTACTTTAGTGGGGGCTAGCAACCCTGAGGATAACAGTCTTGCTGGTCTGCAATGCTTGGTGTAGGGAGATGACAGAGTGAGAGTCTTCTGCCAGAGAGGTAGGCTCGGCTAGATCTCCAGGTGGGCCTGGATAAAGGCCTTGTGCACTTTACCCCCGGGGCAGCAGGGAACCGGTGACAGGTGTTGACCAGGGGTGGGCAGCTTCCTCTGTTACTGCCTCTGTCAAGTCACTGGAGGAGAAAGAAAAAGTGGGGATGAGGAGGGGTCCAGCTGTCTGGCCCAGCTGTCCACCTGCTGTCTGTCTGTGTGAGGGTTTGCCGTGGGCTCTCCACTGGGGGTCTGCTGCCATTTGCCCTGGCTTTCTGCTTTGGCAGCTGTATCATCGGGAATGTTCTTTTCCTGTCCTACACAGATTTCTCCGCCTGTCAGAGGGTCTCTACCTTACTATGGACCCTCCTGTCATCGGAATTCCATGTCTTGGTACCAGGCAGGCTGTTGGGAGTTTTCTCAGCTTTGGGCTGTGTGCTCTGTTGGTACACAGTGTATGTATACACGCTGTTTATCCCCCACTGGAGTCCCCTCCTGGTCTGTCTCAGGCATGGTGTACTCAACATGCCCTCGCTTGAGGACTCCTTCGTGAAGATACCCACACAGATCCCCTTACTGTCGTCTAACTGGGACAAAAGGCACAAAGAACTCTGTCCGGGCCCAGGACCAGACCCCACCCAGCGCCTGGACCTTGTTTTCCACAGTGGCCTAGAAGCAAAACCCAAATCCTTGCAGCTGCCTCCCCCCCTCCCCCAGTGCTGAGGTGTGGTTTCCTCATTGCTTTGTAGCGGCTTTTATGCTGTGTCACGGTTGGGAGGGGGGTTACAAAGGGAAGACAGATTTTGCTGAGTCACCCTCTGCTTCCTCAGCTTTCCTCTGAATAGAATAGTTAGCTGGTGAAAGGGCAGCTTTAGCCTCGAGCAGGAGGAAATGAAAGTTCTAGCAAGGTACAGAAGCCTCTTGTTTGGTTCTAAATTGTTTGTAAAGCCCTGTCTGAAACACTTCAAACTGGGGTGCACACATATAGCACACCCCTGTCCTCCCACATTCATACACCCTCCCCAACCCCACCACACACACATACAGACACACACACAGACACACACACAGACACACACACATACAGACACACACATCCCACCACACACACATCCCCCCACCACACACACATGCACACACATATAGACACACCACACACACACACAGACACACACCACACACACACACCACACACACCACACACACACACACTCACACACACCACACACACACTCACACACACCACACACACACACAGACACACACACATCCTCCCACCACACATACATGCACACACACCTCAGCGTCCCGAGGCTGACTGTGCATGTCAGCTTTCGGGTGGGTGTCCCCCAACTTTATAGGCCAGAAGAGGGTACCAGATCTCATTATAGATGGTTGTGAGCCACCATGTGGTAGCTGGGAATTGAACTCAGAACCTCTGGAAGAGCAGTCAGTGTTCTTAACCTCTGAACCATCACTCCAGCCCGTCCCCCAACTTCATAGGAGGCAGGCCAGCATCTTCCTGTCCTCCTCTGCCCTCTCTTTCCTCATCCATCAACTGCATCTGGACCCATCATGCACTTTGTAACGACCTTGGATCCTGAGGGATGTCCAGGACAGTCTCACATCTGCCTTCAGAATCTTCCTCTGGTCTTGATGTGGGAAGCAGGAAGAAGGCCATGGACTGGGGTCTTTTGGTTGCATGAGGCAAAGGAAGTCAGGAAGCCGAGTCAGTGTGGGCATGGCGGGCTTGGGGGGGCGCACAGGGGTCAGGGGCGATGGGAGGGGTTGGGAAGGGACCAGAACAGCCTGGTCTGACTGCTTCTGTCCCCAAATTCTGTGTAGCCTATCTTCTAGCTACATCTGAGGTTCCCAGAGAACAAGCCAGACCCCAGGAGTCAGAAACTCCGGGTGAGCAAAGGTTTTACCTTTGATGGGGCCACAGGCCGAGTCAGTGTCTCTCTCTTCCTGTGTCCTAGCTGCCCGTGTTGAAAAGAAGATTCACGGTGGGAGTTTCATTTTCTGCGTTCCTCAGAATAACTGGTTCTAGATCTACAGATTTTCCCTAAACTCCTGGACCCTCCAGGACAGGGCTTGGGATAGGGTGCTTAGAAGGGAGGCCTGACATCCTGTTACCAGAGCTAGAGTCCTTGTTCTGCCAACAATATAGCTGAGGGACAAGAAAATTCCTTGACTTCACTGTACCTCATTAGAGTCAAGTAGAGACGAGAGAGGAGATGTGGGTTGGGCAGCTCTTGTGGGCTGCTGTGGGGATGAGATGAGCTTCTGCACACAGCAAGTACTCGCAAGGATGGTTAGGACTGCACTTTGTGACCATAGCTCAGTTTCAGCCTTTCTAGAAGCTTAGTGCCGTGACAGCCAACTAACAGTATCCCCATTGCGGTCAGCAGCCTTTGTCCAGCCTCACGCTTGCTGCGATTATTAACTGTCTACCATGTGCCAGGCACAGGTCCGGCCCTGCGGATTTACAGCACAAAGTGGGCAGAGACCCTCCCATTTGCTTTCCACCCGCCCTGGGGAGGACGGCCTTCCCAGAGCACCTAGGGAAGCCCCTGCTGGTTTTCAGACTTCATAGCCACTTATCCTGTGCACGCCATTCGCAGGCAGAAGATATGCGGCGTCTTCCTGTGACAGTGAATTCACATCCTATCCTAAGCCTCTGTCCTGTTCTGTAGAGTCAACCCGTAGGCTTCTCTGGTGGAGTTCTTTTTCTTTTCTTTCTTTTTTCTCTGTAGCTTTGGAGCCTGTCCTGGAACTCACTCTGTAGACCAGGCTGGCCTTGAACTCACAGAACTCACGCCTCCTGCGTGCGCCACCACCGCCTGGCTGTCTGGTGGAGTTCTTGAGAGTGTGAAATGAGTTGTCTGCGAGCCGGGGTCTTCAGTTACGAGGAGCCTGTGTTCTGTTGTCACTGCTAGCCGGGGTCTTCAGTTACGAGGAGCCTGTGTTCTGTTGTCACTGCTAGCCGGGGTCTTCAGTTATGAGGAGCCTGTGTTCTGTTGTCACTGCTAGCCGGGGTCTTCAGTTACGAGGAGCCTGTGTTCTGTTGTCACTGCTAGCTGGGGTCTTCAGTTACGAGGAGCCTGTATTCTGTTGTCACTGCTCCGAGTGGCGCAAGTGATGACAGCACTCTTCACCAAGTCCCACAGATTCTTGGGCACATGCAGGCGAGGCTGGGCCATCCCATTCTCTCTGTGGGGGAACCCACCCTTGACAGGCAGTTGCCAACCTCCATTCACCTTTTTTTCAGAGCCGAGGACATGAAACCACCATTCTAAATGATATCCCTAAAAACAGAAGAAGCAAACAAGAAATGAAATCCTTGTTGACATCAGAAGTCACTTCTGGGCTGGAGAGGTGGCTCAGAGGCTGACAGTACTTGCTGTCCTTACAGAGGACCTGAGTTTGGTTCCCAGAACCCACGTGGGCAACTTCCCACCTCCTGTTCCAGGGGATCCAACGCCTCCTTCGGCCTTCTCAGACATTTGTATGCGCGCGCCATGAATGCATACATACACATACTCGGGCACACACATACACATGAAATAAATATAAATATTTTTAAAGGAATTCACTTCTAACCCTCAAAAGGACGACTAGAACTCTGGGTGCTTTGAGGGACCACCCAGTATATTTGTTTACTCTTTGTCGAGTTCCTGAGGGGTCCGCATCACCAGGATTCAGGTGATTGTCCAAGCCCTACCCTGCTAAGCTTCGGTGGGTCCCGGTGATGAACCTCCGCTCTTGGGCATCAGGAAGTCATGGTGTGTGTGGACCAGGTTCTAGGAGAGCGCGGAGGAGGCAGCAGACACCCAGATGGTGTCCCACATGAGACCCGGGCAGCACACTTCATCCTCTGCTCAGTCTCCCCACCGTGATTGCGCGATGATACGCGGAGACCAACCATGAAGACTTAGTCTCAGCAGGGCGAGCCAAGCAAGGACCGAGTGTCCATAAAGGCGCTGTCCTCAGAGCCCTGGGAAGGCAGACTCAGGTAGAGTCCCCAGGGTTGCCCGCCAGCATTTCACCATTTCACTCTGACAAGTATTGTCTATTAGTTCTGGAACCGTCCAGATTCCCGAGGGAGCTACTCCTGTCTTCTTGTCACTGAGTAGAGAGGGTTCTGGAAAGGATTCAAATCCTGTAACTCAGATTTCTTTCCCCCCTCCCTCCTTCCCTCCCTCCCTCCCTCCCTCCCTCCCTCCCTCCCTCCCTCCCTCCCTCCCTCCCTCCCTCCCTCCCTCCCTCCCTCCCTCCCTCCCTCCCTCCCTCCCTCCCCCTCTCTCTCTTTCTTTTTCTTTTTTTTTTTTAAGACCCTGCTTGCCAGGGTCATATGACTTATCGCCTTGCAGACCAGGCCAGCCCGCCCGGGGGCGGGGTGTTGCAACATAAACCAGAACTCGGGCTCAGCAGGGCGGCGGCCACGTGACCCGCTTACTTAAAGGGCTGGCTCGGGCAGCTGCTCACAGTCGCCAGCGTCGCCTCCAGACCTTCCGCAGACAGCCATTGAGTGGAGCCTGCGGGAGCAGACCCATCTCGAGCGTAGCCGGGAGCCTAAAGCGGACGGAACCAGCCTGAGCCAGCCCAGCCCGAGGATGGAACGCCCAGCGCAGCCCGACAGGCAAGCAGCTGCGTGGGGACGGGAAGGGTGGCGACCCGCGTCCCCTGCTCAGCCTGGAAATGCTGCGGGGCCAGGGAACGAGTTAGCGCCCATTCTACCTGTAGCCATGGGCAGCTGGAGGGAGAAAACGTGACTCACCCCTCTGGCACCCTGTGCGTGACAGGATGGGAGTGTCCTTGTGGTATCCTGGTTTGAGGGCTGGTGAGCGCACTGCTGAGTCCTAGATCCTGGACTCAGCATCCAAGGGGGGCGAGGGGTGGGGAACTGGCTCTCTTGATAGCGCGGAGTGGTCACTTGTCAGGCTGGATATATAATATATAACCTTGGTTGTGTAGTTCTCGACCTCACAGGAGAATGGCGAGGCACCCCGAGGCAGCAATAGCAGAACTAGAGGGTTTAGGCTACGATTGTGTGTGTGTGTTTGTTTAGGCTTCTTTTTTTTTCGAGACAGGGTCTTTGTACATAGTCTTAGCTGTCCTGGAACTTGTTTTGTAGACCAGGCTGGCCTGGAACTCACAGACTCGCCTGTCTCTGCTCCCTGGTGCTGGGATTAAAGGTGTGCACCACCACCACCGTGTTTTATTCTGTCCCTGTACAGTGGCCACATGTGTGCCACACTAAACAAGTAGATAGAGGTCAGAGGACAACTTGAGGGGTCATTGTTCTCCTTCCAACAAGTGGGTTTCAAGGAAGATGGGGTTATGAGGCAGGGTGGCCAGCACCTTTACTGTCTGCTCCTGACCCCTGTCCTTTTAGCGTTAAGAATTGAACTTAGGACTTCAGACACTCCAGCCAAGCACTCCACCACAAAGGCACAACGTCAGCCCTTTTTAATTTAAAGACAGTGTCTTAACTGAGTCGTCTAGGCTGGCCTTGAACTCTGGCTGCAGAACTCCTTTGAGTAAAGCTGATTACAAAGACTGTTCAGTGCAGACACCTTGACTAACGTGGGTGTGTTTACAAGTTTGTTTGTTTGTTTGTTTTGTCTTCCTACATAGCCCTGGCAATCCTGAAATACACGTGTAAATAGAGCAGCCTTCAAGCTCACAGAGGTCCACCCGCCTCTGCTTCTGAGTACTCAGATTAAAGGCTACACTGCCATGCCCAGCTGGTTGTGAATTTGTAATTTAAACTTTTTGAAAGAAATGCCTTCATGTTGGATCTAAAAGCTTACCTTTAATACTACCACTCAGGAGGCAGAGTCAGGCAGATCTCTTGAGTTCAAGGCCAGCCTGGTCTACAAACTGAGTTCCAGGACAGCCAGGGCTAAACAGAGAAATCCTGTCTTGAAAACCAAAAATAAAGTAAAATAAGAAGATTTACCATTGATTGAGCATGGTCCTGGGACTGGTGTGATTCCTGTCTGTGGTTAGGCCATACCTTCCCTCCCTTCTCTGGGAATAACTAGAATAGGAATTCTCCTTGTGCTTTGGGAGGCTATATCCCATAGTATTTAATGGCTGACGATTATTTGCATGATTAAGACCATGGCTTGGTCTTTCTTGGAGGCTGGACCTGTCTGCAAGTCCAGTCTGAGACGGTGAGGTCCCAGCTGCCCCCTACTCACTGCCCTCTCTTCTTCTGCAGTATGCCCCAGGACTTGTCTGAGGCCTTGAAGGAGGCCACCAAGGAGGTGCACATCCAGGCGGAGAATGCTGAATTCATGAGGAACTTTCAGAAGGGCCAGGTGACCAGGGAAGGCTTTAAGGTATGTGACATGTAGGTTGGTCAGAGCATTGGGGGAGAGTATAGCACACATGCCCAGGGCTCAAGCCAATAATTGAACGGGGAGGTTGGAGCTAGGGATGATGAGGGCTTGTCCAAGGAAATCATCCTACTAATTTTGACACTAGCTCAGAGAGAGGGTCACACGACAAGTTCTTGGCCTGCTAGGTGATGCTGACAGAGGAGCCTGGGCAGCAGGATGAGGTGAACATCTTAACTCTGTGTTGTCTCAACGTTGAGGAGTAGATAAGAGGAAAGCCCCGAGAGGTTAAGAGGCCACAGTCAGCGTTAGTTGGAAAAGACCAAAACCAAACAAAGATGGCCTAATTTCAGAGCTTGTACTCTTGACCTGTTTAACCTAGGGCCTTGCATGGGCTGGATAGGTTCTCTCCCACTGACCTACAATCCTGGTTCCTGGATTATTGAACAGTCTCCCTACATAGTTCAGACACTCTCGATACTCCTGAGTCAGTCTCCTGAGTATTTGGACCACAGGCATGTACCACCATACCTAGATTTTTTGACTCAATTTGTTACTGAAGGCAAGGGGAAGTTTGCCTTAGCCCCGCAGTGTCCTGTCTTCACAGTGAGATAGTTCAGCTCATTTCATCTCCCGGTCATCTGAGAAATGGGCTTTTGACAGCAGGGCTTTTAAAAATACCCAGTGTATACAATAGGCTCTGATTTTGCTGTTCCCTGGAACAGTTGTAAAACTGATGTCAGTAAGAAACGAAACACCAGATACAGCTGGGTGGTGGTGGTGCACACCTTTAATCCCAGCACTCAGGAGGCAGAGGCAGGCGGATGTCTGTGAGTTCAAGACTATCCTGGTCTACACAGAAGAAGTGTGTGCCGAAAAATCTAAACGAGAAGAAAAAGAGACCATGAGATACACAATAGAGAGCCCTGGACTGGGTGGAGATGGAGAGGTCCTCGGGTGGTAGGGACAGGGAGCCTTCCAGAAGGCAGTCGTGAAGAGGTCTTCTGGGGACCTGAGAAACTGCCTCTGGTTTTCAGCTGGTGATGGCCTCCTTGTACCACATCTACACGGCTTTGGAGGAGGAGATAGAACGCAATAAGCAGAACCCAGTCTACGCCCCGCTCTACTTCCCCGAGGAACTGCACCGAAAGGCGGCCCTGGAGCAGGACATGGCCTTCTGGTACGGTCCCCACTGGCAGAAGACCATCCCTTACACGCGGGCCACACAGCACTACGTGAGGTGCCTCCATGAGGTGGGGCGCACTCATCCCGAGCTGCTGGTGGCCCATGCCTACACCCGTTACCTGGGCGACCTCTCAGGGGGCCAGGTACTGAAGAAGATCGCACAGAAGGCCCTGGGCCTGCCCAGCTCTGGTGAGGGCCTGGCCTTTTTCACCTTCCCCAACATCGACAACCCCACCAAGTTCAAGCAGCTCTATCGCGCTCGCATGAACACTCTGGAGATGACACCTGAGGTCAAGCACAGGGTGACAGAGGAGGCTAAGACCGCATTCCTGCTCAACATTGAGGTGAGTCCCACTGCTTCTTCAAGCCACATCCCTGTTATGGAGGGAGGGTCCCAGAGTCACAGTTAAGTACAAGGACTTGGGACCAGGGACCTGTTTTGCTTACTAGCTGGGTGATTGTGGACACATCTCTTCATCTCTTTTCCTCACTTTCTCTATTTGTAAAATAGAGAGGATAGCATCCATCCTCAAGGTGCGAGGGGTAAGAAAGTTGACGCAGTTCACCTCGCAGAGGACTGTTATAGGGTAGGCTCTGTGATGTCATTGCTCTCCTGTCGTGGGACATGACCATCATGGAGATTGCATCCTGTGACAGTGGTGTGAGTGTAAGGGGACTTGTGCATTTGTGCCTAGACAGGTTGGCACTGTAAGGTTTTCAGAGGCTGAAATGCTTCAGGTGGCATTTGTTTTTGGAGATCTTTCTACACACCACAGAGGTATCTCATTTCTTTCTGCAAATGCCTCAATACAGGGAGAAAGAAAATGTGGGTCTTGTAGTGATTTATTTGTTATGTGCATTGATGTTTTGCCTGCATGTATGTATGTTTGAAGTTATCAGATCCCCTGGAGCTGGAGTTACAGACAGTTGTATGTTGCCATGTGAATACTGGGAATTGAACCTTTGGAAGAGCAACTGGTGGTCTTAACCTCTGAACCATCTTGCTCGCCCCTAGGAAAGTTGGTTTTGAGCAAGGCCCTGAAAGATAGAGCTGGATGGGTATAGTGTCCTGTTGATGGGATGCTGTGGTGGCCAGGCTTCCAATTCATGACCTCCTGGCTCCCCACTCTCCAGCCTGGGATTCCTTAAAAGGCTCACCAGGCAAGCACCTGTTAGAGAATTATCCTTTCAAATCTCTAAATCCACCACATCTAGACCATCCGTTTCTTTCTGAGGATATGAAGCTGGGTGGTGGTGGCACATACCTTTAACCCTTACACTCTTTGGGGAGCAGAAACAGGCTGACCTCTGAGTTCAAGGCCAGCCAGGTCTACAGAGCAAGTTCCAGGACAGCTAGGGCCACACAGAGGAAGCCCTGCCTGCAAGTCAACAAACAAGCAAACAGACTCAGCCCAGCTGAGAGCTGTGTCTGCTCCTGAGCCCTGGTCAGTCTCAAGCAAGCCCTACTCCAGGAGCTGTGGTTTCCTCACCTGAAGAACAGTCTAGGACCTCTATGGCACACCCTTTAGCAAAGGACGAGCTGGCCAGTGTCCAGAAGAGACAGCAGGTTGTATGTTGCACAGCCGCCACACAGTCGCTTGA